TACAAGTCAAGTGTGTGCTCCGAATCATCCGCCTGGAATGCTAATGAAGGACACCTGTACTTCACGGCTGGAGTTAATTTGTATAATTTATTCCTGTGCAGTCTTACAATCACAGTGCATACTTCCATTTCTCTGAATCTTTCAGATTTAATTTGAATGGCGACAACCAGTGGTAAGGAGGCATCGCACTGGGTGCTTTGCCTTTGGATTCTCAGTAGGTGACGTTTCCTTTCTGTCCTTGAGATGCACCAGAGGGGGCTCACACTTTCCACTGAGTTTATAATCAACAAATGCTTATCTTGAGGACTAGAGCTGGCACTCAAGTACCTAGCTCCTGAGCTTCTTTTCAAGGACTTAACTATACAAGCAAGTTCTCCAAAGTCCTTATCATTTTCCAACTCTGCTTGCAGCTGCTCGGCTGCCTGGAGGTGTAGCCACGAGGCCGTGTCTATAGCTTTCCATCTCTGCTGAGGTGTCACTTGACAAGCCCTCGCGTGGTAATCGTGCTGGCTTATTTCAGTGTGCTTATTCCTCCCCTTGCTCCCTCTGACCCACGCTGACTTCCGCTAGTCAGTGATCTGACAGGCTGCTTTTGGTCTTTTCTTCCTTTCGGTGGTACCTGCGCTTATCTTGCTGTCACAGATCACCTTACGGACTCCCAGCTCAAGTTTTGCATTTCTCTTGACTGAGATCAGCTTTTCCTTGACAAGTTCCCAGTCCAGATAAGGGCTTTGCTTCTAAGCTGCTCTGAATTCTGAGAACTGTAGGATCAGAGGGTGCTGGTGGGTAGCACTTAAAACCTGCCCCCACGGTCACCCTCCTGTATCCCCATCATCTAAGTCCACCCTTTGTAGCTGGTGCAGGTCTGCATGCTCCCTAACAGGTTAAGTATGGCTGCCACAGACCCTCATTACCCTGACAAGAGTCTTTTTTTTTTGAGACAGGGTCTCGTTGTGCAGTTCAGGCTGGCCTTGAGCTCGCTTTGTAGCCCAGGCTGGTCTCGAACTCACAACGATCCTCCTGTCTCAGCCTTGCAAGAGCTGCGATTACAGGTGTGCACAACCACTCCTGGCTTCTGTAGTCTGTCTGAGGAGGGAGGAATGCGTTTGTTACTCCTGTGGATGCTCGGAATGCATCGAGGTCATTTGCAGAGTTGTGTATAAAGCAGGGTCCTTGGTTTGCTCCTTGTGCAAGAACTCACTTGAGTCCAGCAGATCGATGCCATTCTCCTGAGAAAGGCCTGCTTGCAGTCAAGGTCTGGGACCATGACTGATAAGGAGTCCCCTGCTCTCCGAGGGTGGCTCACTTAGAAGGGCGGCTCTGGGAATTGAAACTGCTCCTACAAAAGAGGCCGCTCTCCTCCTGGGGCCGGGAGTATTGGTGTGCACCCAGCAGAGGGCGCTAGGTGACCATGCTGGCTGCTAATGCATTGGCGAGGTCTTCAGGGCAGTCTTGGGCTCAGGACGCAGTGGGAGAGGCTCCTCATCTCAGAGAAGGAGAATAAAGAAGCCCAAATGCGGGCGCCTCTTGACTGCGGAGTCCTCCCACTGCCCCCACTGTGAGCTATTGCTCCGGAGCGCTAGCGAGGCTCAGCCACCCGGTGACCTGGGAGCGCGCCCAGCAGATCTCCGACTGAAGGAGTGGTCTTGGGGGAACCCAGGCCTCCCTAGTAGTGGGGAAATTCCAGGTGCAGCACTTGATGGCATTGTCCTCAACCGTGCTGGCAGTATCCGGAATCTCCTGGGTTTCCTCAGGCGTTTTTCAGTTTAGCTCTTCCAGACACACTGATGTGTACCAGGTTGACGACGGTTCTTCCTCTTTCCTAGAGAAGACTGCTGTGCTCTGTGCAGGTTTTCATTTTGTGGCGCCGTCTTCAAGCTTATTTTAGACGGAAATCCACGCCCATCAGCTATCACAAGTCATCGGTGAGCGCTAACCGTTCAGGTGGGTAAGTCCGACTGAATATTTAGGAGAAAACCTATAAAGCAGCGATAGCTAAGAATATTGACAACTAGAACCTCAAAAGTGTGCCCGCGTGCTTTAGAACGTTCTCTGCGTCGGCTGACCTGAGTGTGTACCTTTGCCAGATCTTCGGAACGGTGCTCCTGAAGTCAAGAACGCTGACACGCTCGTGACTCGCTCCGCTCTGAAACACGCTGCTATGTTTTCCTTCAAGACGACTCCCGGGGTTGAGTACTTCCGCCTTCCCTGCGCACTGTGCTGCGGTTGGTCAGTAGCGTTTTCTCAACCTCGTCCTGTACACAGGGAGGGTGGGTGGGGTAGACATGCCAAGTATGGGCCGAGCAGCAATTCCAGGAAAAGAGTGAACAGCAGGGGACAGGTACCTGCTCGAGTTTACTTTTTGAAGATTAACTTCTTAGAACACGTAGTGGTTGATGTACTGTGTCAACCTGAGAAATTTAGGAGCTTAGCTAAATCAGCTCAACAATTCCACACCCCAGGTATAGAGAAGCCACCGGTGGGCGGCTGGTCACTTAGAGGATATAAAAGGGAAATGAGGAAGGACTGAGGGTTCCTTTTTCTTCAGAGGAGCTCCAGTCTTTGCCTTCAGCTTTGTTGTTGTTACCCGGTTTCTTTTTCTTTCTTTTTTTTTTTTTTTAAGTTTTGAACAATAAAAATATATTGCTTACAATTCTAAAGGTGGGGAAGTCTAAGATCGAGGTGCCAGTAGATTCATTCACTGGTAAAAGCCTCAATTCTCCTGCCAAGTGAGCTCCCCAAATGTTGCAAGAGCAAAGAGAACTTTTTCACTTATTTTATAGTAGCACTAACCCCACTGGAGCCTGTATGATGTAATCAGGTCACTCTGCAGTTCTGGCTTACATTTTTTTTTTCTCTAGTCAAGGGAGAGAAACTATTCAGGCCCCAAGGCTGCAGGCGTTGGGCAGGTGGTGCCCTTCTGGGACTGGCTGAGTTTTACTTGACCTTCTTCTTGTGTTACCCGGTTTCTAGCACAGACTCTTCGACCTCTGCCTTAGACCCTTCAGTCTTCCAGGGTAGACTCATTAGCCTCATGTCACAGACCCACCGGCCTCCTGATATGGACTTGCACGGGGCGCTGCAGGGAGCTCCAGACCTTGGACTGAATCCTCCAGCCACCGGTGTGCAGACGCCCTCTGCACGCTTCCTCATCTGACTTTGGCTGACCATCGTAAGCCAATCTTGAAATTTCGTACACATTTGAGCATCTTGTGTTATATCTGTTTCTCTAGTAAAACTCTGACTGATACAGAACAGTAATAACACTAGTAACTGGATGGAAGTTGCTTGGCATAACTAACAGGGCTTGCCACGGAGTGAAGTATACCTTTCCTGGGAGGTATTTTAAAATAAGTGATAGAGGTTCACAGGTCATTTTGGTGCTATTGTATCAGTTAATGCTCTAGGGTGTAGAAGTATTCTGTTCCAAGAGTTCAGATTCTTTACAAAGGGATTAATGTTAGCACCATTTAGCAGAATCAGGCTTGTACTTATTGCTAATATTAAAAACTATTTCATTAGACCCAAGCATCAAGTGGGGGGACAAAACATTTACTTGGGCATGGGGTCAACCCTATAAAAACCTCTCTGAAAGGTACAAAAGATACTATGAAAGGGAAAGAATCTGTTCAATGGGAAGGAACAACTGGGATGAGGAAAAGGACAAAAGAAAGAAGGAGAAAAGATATATTCATGTGTATATGTAGGATAGTTTGCATAATTGCACTGCTGATTTCTGCTGGGCTGTTGAAAGGAGCAGTTAACTTTTTCTTTTTTTTTTAAAACCAATTTGCAAATTTATATCTGGTAATGCAAACAACTAATTTGACCTTATGTAGTATAAGAACTATTGTCAAATTCCTATTTGTTTAATGAAATTTTGTATTGTTTCTAACATTTTTTTATTTACTATTTTGTATTTTTTAAAAAGAAATGAAATTGGAACCTTAAAAACACCTCTCATGCATTCTGACTCCACGTGAGAGACTGCTGGCTCTTTTTGTAGGGGTTGTCAAGGCACCGGAAGTAAAAAACTTTCGAGGGCCTTTGAATTCAGATATTTTAATTAAGCTCGTGATTCTGGTCTACTCTGCTAAATCAGGAGGTGGTACTTCTTTCGAGGTTACTTATTTACCTATAAAAAGCATAAATTGAAAGAGAAAAGTGTGCTGAAGCTTTGGGGGTAGGGAACGGAGCTGAGAGTAGGACGCTTTCTCTGGATCCACGAGCTCACTACGTAGATACCAGCAGATCAGATCGGCTTTTCCACCACGAACACTGTTGTTTGTTGTTCTGTCCTTGCTGATGTCTGTCTCTCTGTCTGAGATTGTTTATAAAGACCAGCGCAGGCTTGAAGCTTTCCGTGTAACAAGCCCTCGGCTGATTCTGACCCACTAGCTAGGCTGTCAGTGGAATCTGCAATGCGCTGCTGGGAGGTAAGAACTTCAAGCAAATTGAGGAGCTGGAGTGCGTCTAATGCCCTCCTCAAGGGCACCCAGAGACACAGAACAGGAATGAAGTTCTGCACTAACTCCTACATGCCAAGAAATACAACCCTTGCGTGAACTGAAGTTAACAGCCTAACCTCACACCCTGAAGGTTCATGCCTGCTTGTCACCTGCCCCCCAACCACCCTATGGCACAGTCATATGCATGAGCAATTTTAGGCAATAACTGATAAGTTACTGTAGACTCAAATGTACAAGATGATCTGCCAAATCATGAATGTTCTAAAGACATGTAGTGTGGGGTCTCCCTGCACACTCAGAGATGCCCTGAAGGTCCTACATTGGGTATTTTCAATATTCCCTAATCAAAATAGAAAGTGCTCACATATGTATAAATTCTGGGCTTAAATATACATATATGCATCTGCATCTACTGATAGCTAAATATACATGTAGATGGAAAAACAACTGATGTAATTTTATCAATAAGCTCAGGCATTTTATAGTATACAAGAAGCAACAGAAAAAAGAGAATCGAAATGCAACACGTACCATACTCTGGGACCTGTCCTGTGCCTCTCTTGAGCAGCAGCCGTACTCTCCTTCCTCCGGATTTGATGAGTTCTATTGCTCTGGCGTGGGTCATGTCCCTTGTGCTTTCCCCATTGATTTCAATGATTTGATCACCTACCTGTTAATTACAGAAAAAGGAAGTCAGCCAAAGAAGGCTTTCACTTAAGTTGCATCTGTGACAGAACTCAAAAGCAGAAGCGACCTTTAGGAAAACCTGTCTCCAAAAAGAGCTGAGCAGCCTGGTTGCAGTGTAGCCCTGCTTTGGAGTGGTTCATGCCTGTCATACCACCTACTTTTTATCTGCCTTCATCAGGCCACGGTTGTGGCCAGTGGCTTCTTATTCTTAGCCAGTGTGGCAGTGGCTGTAGTTAAACTACCTAGCATTTAAAAATGAATAGCAAACAGATCGGATACCACAGTTCTAAATAACCTGGCACCTTTGTTTTAAATCAAGAAGCAAATAGTTAAGACCTTTTCACTGAATATATACCCAGCTTTGGGCACTAACTTAGTATGCTTCAGGGAGTGACTGGGTTTTGTGCGTCTCTCAGAATTTTTGTGACACCCCTTTACATTTCCTGGCATGCTACTGCAATATTACTTTTGTTGTAAACAGTGGCTGGTTGATATTGAAGTTTGATGAAGAGTTTTCTCTCATAATCCTTTGAATGAAAAAGATGATCCTCTATTCTCTGCACATGACTAATGTCCTGGTTAAAACTTTGCCATGCTCACACCTGGTTGTTAGAAACTGGTTAAATACCAGTCCCTCCTGATTTGCCACAAACCCCTGGATTCCAGAAGCAATTCCTATTTAGCCTTTCTGAATAGATACTTGGAATAAAAGAGGTTCACACGCTGTGTCACCTCCACAGTAGCATTATAGTCGGGACTCTTGGAATAAAAATATGTCTCTTCCAGTACAAGTCACTTCAAAATATCTAGAAAAAGCACAATGAGTTGCTTTGCAGAGATGCTATTCTGGTTGGGTCTCAAGCAAAGCAGGTCTTAGTTTAAATTCTGCAATGCAGACAGAACTCCCACAAAATCATACAGGAGCACACTGCAGGTTGGAAAAGACCAGGAACAGAGAGAGGGTGGCCACCACAGTGACGAGATGCCCCGGAAATAAGGGCTCCCAAGTGAAGGAAAGAACAAACACATATTTGTTGTAGCAAAGATGGGCAAATCTCCTTAAAGAAGACTTTCTAAGGGGTCCTTACTTTTTCCAGGGACTTCCTTTCACATGCTTGGGGCCTTTGGAAGCACAGGTTAGGGGGAACAAAGAGGACAGCCTCACTGGGGTGACTTCCAAATTCCATGGAAGAATAAGGAAGCCAGACTAAATGTATTTTAGGGCCAGCACCTTTCTCTAGGTTTTCTTAATTGTCTCCTTCCTTTTGAGGCGATAGGCATAACCTGGTGCTGAGTAGCTTGCCATTGGCTGCCACTCTCAATCAGTGCCAGAAGTGGGGCGAGCAAGCCCTCCTCCACTGTCTCACCCAGCCCTGAAGTGTCACAGCACAGTATTGAATGATAAAGCTGAAACCAAAGTTCCCAGAAATTACACAGAGTTCATTCCTGGCTCTATTCTCTCCTGAGCTTCAGATCATAGATCTGGTTGCTAAGCTTCTTCATCTGGGTGCCCCAGAGGCAACCCCAACTCAGTGTCAGCACGTGGGGTTTTACCCCTCTTTCTCCAGCATTCAATCAAGTCAGGAGTGTGCGGGTCACTTGGGGTCTGTTATGCTTTTTCTGTAGTTGTCCCCTCAAAGTCTCATGTAGTTATGGGGCTGACTTCTAGAGTCTGTAATTAATTCATGGTCCAGTGCTGGGATTAGGGGTGTAAATGTCATATCTAGCCTGGTGTGGATAGGCTGAATGCACCATAAAGGTGAGAGGCTGCTCCTCTGGTGCCACCGTTCCTGCCCCTGCTCCTCCCTCTTTTTTCTCTTGCTATTTTGCTGTTTTCTGCCACTGTGAACCCCTGCCCTCTGCCATGTGCCACTCTGCCCTGGAGCCAGTTGATTATGGAACTGAAATCTCCACAAACCTTTCCTTCCTTAATTTTGGGTGTTGGGTATTTTGCTTCAGCAGTGCAAGAAAAGTACACTAGACAGCTTCTCCAGTCCATCGTGACCTCCTACGTGTCTCTTGGCTTCCCAGCTCAGCCCTTGTCTGGCTTGGGTCCTTCCTACATTCTGCTCACCAGCACTTGTCATTCTTAGGAGTGAAGTCATCCTGAATATATCATGCTCCTCGGGGCATCTGGCCCCTTCTAAGTGTTCTCATTGTCATCTCTTCCCCAAAGCCTGGAGATGTCCCGGCCTTCCCCAAGGTCAGTCCAAGCATCTTCTCATGGGTACCTTCTTCAGCCCTACTCACTGTTACTTATCCTGCCTCATTATAGATTTATGACCCTCTCTCTCCTCCCAGTGTTTCCTTTAGTAAGCACTTTTTGAGCACATATTATGTGCCACAGACTCTCCTGGGGAAATAGAGACAAATGGTATAGCTTCTACTTATAGTAAATTCTCAGTCTAGTTGGGGAATGAAGTGGGCAAGTGAGATAATTAGCACTCAGTGTGTCTTTGCTATGACAGATGTCCTCACACAGCATCAAGGGAACAGAAAGGAGGGTTGCCAACTCCAGAAGAGGCAGGGTGAGAGGTCAGGGAGAGCTGCTGGGAGGCAGCGACATCGCAGCTGAGTTTTGAGCTATCAGTAATAGGAGTTCCCCAGGGAAGAAGCACACGCAGCAGAAAGCAGCACAAAACATGGTGGCACTGAAGACCAGTGGTTTATTGTGAGACTCACGAGTTTGGGTTTTATCTTGAAGGCAGCAGTAAGAGCACTGAAAATTTAAAATAGGAAGTCACTTGGCTGTGGAAGTGAGTGTTGATGTGTCCCCAAGATGGGACAGTGCAGGAAAGGACAGTGCAGGGAGATGAGTGAGACTGAGGAGGAAGTGAGTTGTGGTGCTCACACCTGAGTAGGACAGGACTTGGACAAGTTGATGTTTTCACTCTGTTCTGTGTTTATTTTCCCTTTTTTGCACAAGTGACACGCTGGGAGGGAGGTCTAACTGCTATGCAGCTATGAGGTACACTGTCTGCACTGGTGAAAGGATAAGGTGTTACCATATTGCTCCTTGTGAGAATCATGGGGCAAAGGGTGGCAGCCTCAAATCAGGCTCTGACAGTCACTATTGCCTGGCGACACTTGTGTCCTGAGCCTGATGTTTTAACAAAAAACTACATGCAAGAAGAAGGGTGCTAGAGATCAGAAATGGTGGCTTGTTTTGTTCTCAGGTCTCACGCCTGAGTAGAACAGGACTTGGACAAGTTGATGTTTTCACTCTGTTCTGTGTTTATTTTCCCTTTTCTGCACAGGGCTTATGAGCATTCCGTGGGGAAAGGTGAGGTGGAAGAGGCGTGGCTCTGAACACCGTGGGAGGAGGAGAATCAGAGGGTTCCTGGGCTGTGCTGACCCCCCTGCCTGAGCCCCGAGGGGCGGGGCCCTGGGGAGGATAGTGACCTTATTTTTACGAACTTCCCAGGAGTCTGGGGAGCCTAGTTTGCCTATTGTCACCTTCTATGCAGCTCCTTCTCAGAGGGAGAAGAGACCAGCTGACCCTGAAGGGACCCAGGGCCACAGCCCCTCACTGAAGAGCCTTCGGACTCTCCTGAGCCCCTTTCCCCTTCCAGGGGGCCAGTGGGGGAAGCCTGCTGACTTCTGACATCACTGGAAGCAAAGAAAGTTTAGGAGCAAAATACCACTAAATTCAGAAGACCAGTTAGCGGGTGGCAGTGGGTAGAGCCAGGATGGAGCCCCTCCTGGTAGCACAGACTCAACCACACAGGGTGCTCTGGTCTTCTGGCAAAGTGGGAAAACTCATCCGGGGTTACCCTTAGAGATAACAGACCCAGTCTCTGCTTAACGTCAAAACTCCCATTGCTCCTGTGACAATATAATTTATGTAAAGATTTAATTTTCACTCTTTTCCGGCTGGAACCATGGAGGGTGTAAAGAGAAGAAAAAGAAGGCTCCTGCTGTGCCAGAACCCCTTAAGAAAGAGTGAAGACATTCCACAGAGTTGAAGATAAAGCGCCTGAGAAACAAGTTTGCACAGAAGACTCTTTGTGAGGCGCGTCAACTCCAGACAACTCCAGCACTCAGGCAGGCTAAGTGCTACCTGAGGAAGCTCATCTATGAAAAAGCCAGGCACTATCATAAGGAGCACAGACAGATGTACAGAACTGAGATCTGAATGGCTAGGATGGTGAGAAAAGCTGGCAAATCCTGTGTTTCTGCAGAGCCCAAACTGGCATCTGTCATCCGGATCAGGGGTATCAGTGGTGTGAGCCCAAAGGTCTGCAAGGTGCTGCAGCTTCTTCGCCTTCGCCAAATCGTCAATGGTACCTTCGTTAAGCTCAACAAGGCTTCAGTTAACATGCTGAGAACTGGGGAGCCATATACTGAATGGGGGCACCCAAAGCTGAAGCCAATGAATGAACTAATGTACAGGCGTGGCTGTGGCAAAGGCAATAAGTAGCGAACTGCCTTGACAGATAATTCATTGATTGCTTGATTTCTTGGTAAATATGGCATCATCTGCATGGAGGATCTGATTCATGAGATCTATCCTGTTGGAAAACGCTTCAAAGAGGACAATAACTTCCTGTGGCCATTCAAGTGATCATCTCCACGAGGTGGAATGAAGAAAAAGACCCACCCATTTTGTGGAAGGTGGAGATGCTGGAAATAGCGAAGACTAGATCAACAGGCTTATTAGAAGGAGGAACTATCCTTCTAATAAGGTATCTATCATGGTGTTTTTATGATTTGTTCAGTTAATAAAGTATCTGCTTCCAAATTGAAAAAAGATTTAATTTTCATTCTAATATCAGTATTATGTATAATCATTTTAACTTCCTAAAGATTTGTGGGATGTGACTGCTTTCACACTTCCTCTTAGTATCTGGAGGAGAGCTTTGCTCCTTGCC